TCAGTGGTACTGGGTAAATTTGGCAGTCCCCAACCTTTTCAGCACCAGAGATTGGCTTCGTTGAAAACAATTTTTCCATGGATGGGGGGTGGGTGCGGAAATGGTTTGGGGATGATTCAAGCGCATCTCATTTATTGTGCACTTTATTGCTAATCTAATGCTGACGTTGATCTCATGGGAGGTAGGAGGTACTGGTCTGGGGCACAGTGGGTGGGGACCCTTCATTAGATAACCAAATAGAACAAAAGTGCATGTTGTTCCCTGTCTTACCTTACACAAAATTTAATTCCAAGATGAACTGCTGATTTAAATGTGCAACTTGGAACAGTAGAATTTTCAGGAGAACATCTTCATAATAACAGTCATGGAAAAACTATGCAAAGGTAAAGAACAGATTTTATGGAAAGACGAAAGAAAAATAGTAAAAATGCAAAAGGCTTCACCTTACTGGCAATCAAAGAAATGAAAGTGAAATGAATTATTAGGTACCCTTCTTGTTTGTCAGATACAATGGTTATAGAGTAATAGTTTACTTTTAGTGAGGGTGTAATGATATCAGCTGCCTTATACTTTATTAACAGAAGTGGAAATTTATATAATTGTTCCAAAAATCAATCTGAGAAAATTGATCAAGAGTCTGGAGAATGTTCATGGCTTTGATACAATTCCAGTTCTAGAATTCTCACCTACAGCATGAGCAGAAAAGCAGGTAAACATATATAAGGAACTGTTTATAATAGCATCCCTTAAAATAGCAAGGGCTTCCACAGGGACTCAGAGGTTAAAGCATCTGCCTCCAATGTGGGAGACCCAGGTTCGATCCCAGGGTCAGGAAGATCCCCTGGAGAAGGAAATGGCAACCCACTCCAGTATTCTTGCCCGGAGAATCCCATGGACGGAGGAGCCTGGGAGGCTGCAACCACCGGGTGGCAAAGAGTCAGATACGGCTGAGCGACTTCACTTCACTTCAAAATAGCAAAAGAAATAGAAACAAATTAATATTGTCTAAATTGGGAATACTGTTCATGGGGTTCTCAAGGCAAGAATACTGAAGTGGTTTGCCATTCCCTTCTCCAGTGGACCACATTCTGTGAGACCTCTCCACCACGACCCGTCCGTCTTGGGTGGGCCCACACAGCATGGCTTAGCTTCCTTGAGTGAGACAATGCTGTGATCCTGTGATCAGATTGGCTAGTTTTCTGTGATTTTGGTTTCAGTGTCTGTCCTTTGATGCCATCTTGCAACACCTACCATCTTACTTGGGTTTCTCTTACCTTGGATGAGGGGTATCTCCTCACGGCCTCTTGAGAAACCTATCTGCAGGTCAGGAAGCAACAGTTAGAACTGGACATGCAACAACAGACTGGTTCCAAATAGGAAAAGCAGTATGTCAAGGCTGTATATTGTCACCCTGCTTATTTAACTTATATGCAGAATACATCAGGAGAAACGCTGGGCTGGAAGAAGCACAGGCTGGAATCAAGATGCCGGGAACAGCATGCAGGAGATGGGAAGGCAGGCAAATTGGGTCGGTCACAGGCCCCCACCTAAACTTAGGTGGGGATGCCAGGAGCTGTGGGTATGCCAGGCCCATGAAGGGAAGTACTCGATGGATGGCCCAGGCAGGCAGATCTCCCAGGACATTTGCAGGCTGCCTTAAGCCAGCGGGTGACGGCTCAGGCTAGAGCCGGCTCAGGCAGGCAGGGTAGAAGCCTGGCCCTGGGGCCCTTGGAGGGCTCCACTAGGGGCTGCCAATCGATTGGGGCCTCCCTGAGTGGCGGCTGGAACTCAAGATGTGTCTGCCAGCTAGATTCAAGCCCTCCTGGAGGCGGCCAGAGAGGCGGTCATTCCTCTCCCCCAGGTGGTCCAGGCAGGTGTTGACCAGGTCCAACATGGGGTTGATGGCTGCCTGTACTGCTTTTTGGGCAAGCCGTCGACCTTGCCTTCCGTGCTGACGTCCACAGACACACCCTGTTCCACGTGGCCTCCAGACACTGCGGGCTCATGCACCTGCAAGGCTCACATGGCGGCCGTAGAGTGAGACCACATGTTGGTCGCGTGGACGGCCGAGGCAGGGAGGGTGGAGGGCGGTCATTAAACCCTTGTGCTCATTGAAATTGTACTCCTGGGGGAAAAGAAAGCAAGACTGTCACAGGCTGTCCTGATTGAAAATGTGTCTGCTGGGTGGTGGGCTCGGGTATCTCCCCGATTATTCCCAAAGATCTTACAGGCTGTGGCTGTCAGCAAACTCACCTCTTCCCACCCAGGTCTAAGGGCCCCCCAGAGCTGCAACATGTCATCTCCTGCCCGAGGGGTTGCTCAGGATGTGGAGGTCGAAGAAGGGCCCCCTTACTGTCACAATACCTGGAATTCTTTTTCTCAGGATTATGCCCTATTCCTGTTAACGAATGACGTATCCATTAATATGTAAGCTACCTGACTTAGCTGTGTAAGTCCAAGTCAGCAGCCTGAAGAGAAACAGGCTGAGATTTGGGGTTGGTGGGGGTGGGTCCTACTTCACACCTCTCCTCTGAATACAGGATTTGCAGGTAGTAATTCAATAATTAATCAGTTGACACATTTTGTGTTTTGTAGGAGAACAAGGTTTTTGGATCTGGCGAAGACTTGAGAGGAGTGTGCGTCATTTTTTCCGTGTAGTGAGGGCTTTTTATGGGCCAGGCTGTATGTGTCTCCCTCAGAACTATTGCTGTGGGCATAAACGTGGTGCTGAAAGGGGATCTATGTGAATCAGTGGCTATCCTGGCACTCAGCAGTAGGGTCTCACTGCACAGGCACATGCGTGTAGCCTCCCAATAACTCCTGGACCATGTGTACACTGTTAGAACTCTGTTATTTTGGTGGAGATCAAGGATCTCTTAAATCTGTAAGACTCAGTGTTCCCCTCCCAACTCCACAACCATCACCACACACAAACACTTAGAGCAGGGGGATCCCTGCCTTCTTCTACCCTCCTTTTTCCTTAAATGTGGTGTCAACTTGGAGATGAATGACTGGGTGACAGGAAGTCAATAGGAAAAAGGGATGCATAGGGGCCTGCCCATTCTGGGCTCCTTTTCTCCTTTTTCTGGTTCTTTCCCCCACCTCAGGTATGCCAAGACTGGAAAGGCAATGAGCACCTTTCTGCCAGTTTGAGAGAGACTGGTGGTCATCTCCTGACATTCGGGATGGTTCTCCAGGTACTGAGGGATTCCGGTGAATCCTGCAGCAAGGGTGAATCAGACTGGAGAGGCTGTGTGGATCCTGGAAGGCGCTAGGGCACAAGTCTCCTCCAGACAGAAGCAAATGCAGGCTAGTCTGTGCTTTGCTTCCTGTGCTGATGTCCTCTCAGCCTTCCTCTTCCCTCCCCATTCTTTTCACTTTCTGTCTCTATATCCCTCCAGCGATCATCTATCCATCTATCTGTATCCCAGGGACACAGGCTAGGGACACAGGCTACAATTGCATCCTGGTCTCCAGCCACGGTGGCACAGACATGAAGGTCGGGTTCCTGCTATGGTCTGAGTTTGCTGATTCGGACAAGTGATCTGGGTCAACTTTGGGCAGCCATTACTCTTCCAGATGTAGGCCTACTCTCGGTGAATGACCCAAGTCCCAGAAGACGACCCACCACAATTTCTATACCCTGGCCCAGCCCTATGTTTGTGGCAGCATGGAGCCCATCCAATGAGGGGAAGAAGGAGGGTGGCAACTGTGACACTAACCATCCACATATAGGCTGAACTTCACAGGTTAAGAGCACAGTCTGCAGCCAGAATGCCATCAGTTCAGAAACTAGGCACGTGTCTGGGTTTACTAGGGACACTCTCACACTGACCAACCGATAGATGGGCCAGTGTCTTGATCAGGCAATATACAGAGGTAAGTTACAGAAGTGCAGTGAAGATTCGATATCATTTTCATTCAAATGTTATTCACTCTGCCCTCAAATATTATTCAAACACATTCAAACAAAGAAATTAAGACACTCCTTTTCCCTGTAAGATGTACCATGATGGTTGGAAAATCTAAAATTCAGAATGCAGGAGAACAGACAGTTTCATTCCATTCGTGGGTGGATTAAGCTTGGGAGACAGCTTTGGTAGGAAGTGTGCATATATTATATAAAGTTGAGAATGTGAATGACTTTCTGTGTGTGTGTGTGTGTGTGCCCATGCACACGTGCACAGCCGCACATGCATGCTGATGGACTGTAGTTCAGTGGGGACACTCATGGCCTGGGGAGAGTGAGGGGCATCCAGGATTTGGAGAGGTAGGCAAGTAGGGTGGGTCACAGGCCCACTCCTGATCCCAGGAGGGGATGCCAGGCGTCGGGGGTGGGGAGGCTTTCCAAGCATGCAAAAGGGAAGTACCAGAAGGATGGCCCAGGCAGGCAGATCCCCGAGGATATCTGCAGGCCGCCCTCAGCCAGGTGGTGAGGGCTCAGGCAAGAGCCCGGCTCAGGCAGGCAGGGTAGAAGCCTGGCCCCGGGGCCATTGGCGGGCTCCACTAGGGGCTGCCAATCGATTGGGTCCTCCCTGAGCAGGTGCTGGATCTCAAGGTGAGTTTGCCAGTTGGATTCAAGCACACTTGGAGGCGGCAAGGAAGCTGGACATTCCTCTCTTCCATGTGATCCAGACAGGCATTGATCTGGTCCAACATGCAGTTGATGGTGGCAGACACAGCTTGTTCGGCTCTGCCCTCATCCTGGCCTTCGGCACCCACATCCACAGCCCGGTTCCACAGAGCAGAGGACAAGGCGGGCTCATGCACCTGCAAGACTCTCATGATATTGGAGTGAGGCCGCGATGGGTGTTGTGTCTCCCTTTTCCTGCTGACCCTCTGTTTTGATCTGTTCTGCACACTGACACCCAAATGGGAGATTTGAAAAACAAACTGGATCTTAACGGAGTTTACCACATCCAACCTAAGTGTCCTTGCTATGGGCCTCTTATCTTTTCCACTTTATCTTTTGCACTTTATATCATTAACTCTCTTCTCCCATGAGGGCAGAAGGTCCGTTCTTCCCTGAGAAGCCATACTCTTTCACATTCCTTCTCCTGTGCACATGCTCCTCCTTAATCCTTTCAGCTGCCTCCTCTCTTGCCCATGTTCCACGTCAACACTCCTGCAACACACATTTCAGCCTGGTGCATCTTTTCTTCACAGACAGGCCTGAGACAGTCAACCAAACCTTCAGTATATTTTTGCCAATTTCTCTTATCAGGGCACCACCTGCGTTGTGTCTTCTGGTAAAACCATTGAGTGGACAAGGGAGTTTATGTCATTCTCATGGGGAATATCGAATATCACAGGGGATCCCCTAATGAAAGGTACTGTTTCAGTGTCCCTTTATGTGCTATTGAATCTTCATGTGTATTGCACTGAATATTGAGCTATATTATACCAGAAGGAAATGAGCGACTAAGCTGATGAATTGGAAACTGGTGGTAAAAGTTTTAAGAACAAGACATACGGGTTTAAATGTGCAACAGTTAATAAGTCAACAAAGACATTAGCATAGATGTAAACAATAATTGTGGAACAAAACAACTGGCACACTGGCCAACACGTTGTAAGATGTGGATTACGTTCCATGAATGGTAAGTGGAAAAAGAATCAGAGAAAGTAGATTAGTGTTCGCAGAGCTAGCATGGAAATGTCTCCAGAAAGGAGATTGTATTTGACAAGAGACCTGCCTGGTGATAAGGTAACAGTCCTAATTAGTGTGTGTTAGTCGCTGGTCTAAGTGCTTTTCATGAACTCACCAAGGGTCATGGCAGCCTGATGACAGAGTTCTTATTAGGATCCTCACTCTACTGATTAGGAAACTGAGGCACAAAACAATGAAGGAGATTCAGCTCGTAGGAGGAATAATTGTGGCATGAATCCCAAGAGCATACAACAAGCCCATGTGCTGTACACAGTAGGTAAGAAGATATGATTTCTTTCAGACAGACCATGACTGTGGAATGAGGTATCAGTGAGACAAGAATGAAAGGCAGGCCTTTCCTGGTGGTCCAGTGCTTAAAACTCAGTGCTCTGACTGCTGTGGGCCCAGAATCAGTGCCCTGGTCAGAAAACTAAGAACCCATAAACTGTGCAGTTAGAGAAGAGAAAAATGAAAAAGACTGAATGTTGGCCACAGATCGAAGAGACACTGGTGATCTGAAAGATAGGATCTGTGTGGTAGTGGTCATTGTATGCCAGGGATTGAGAGGGTCCAGCATGTACCCATCTGCTGATGCCAGTCCGAGCAACAAGCCTAGGAACACATGGGAAAGGCTTGGCAGATCCTGGGGCAGGATTCACATCAATGGCCCCAGTCTTATTTCTCTTCCCTCCCCATGTGGATTCATCATCCGTTACTGATTACTGGACAAGGCCTGCAACAGCTCTCCTGCCCTCTGGATCTTTCTCAGAGGCTCACCTAACAACCCCAGTTCTAGAAGAGCTCACCTGTAAGCTTTCTCTGGGCTTGCAAAGGAGCAGCTAATCTAGTGGAAAAGAAACCCCTCTGAGCTAGTATCTGGCTGTTTCTGGTATCTTAGTTTCCTCACTTATAGTTTGGAACTAATTTTCATGTATTTCATTTTGCTGTTTCTTCCGTATTCTATTTCAGGACTATGAAGCCAAGTCTAGCAGCTGCAACTGGATGCAATGTTCCAGATTTAACAGAGTTATTCAAGAAAACAGAACCAATAAGATACATTTTATATCTATATCTATCTATCTATATCTATCATATACCTATCTATCTATCTATATATTGGCTGTTTGTTTAGTCACTAAGTCATGTCTGACTCTTGTGACCCCATGGACTGTAGACCGCCAGGCTCCTCAGGCCATGGGATCTCCAGGCAGGAATACAAGAGTGGGTTGGCATGTCCTTCTCCAGGGGATCTTTCTGACCAAGGAATCAGGCCTCGGTCTCCTGCATTGCAGGCAGATTCTTTATGAACTGAGCTGTGAAGGAAGCCCATATATATATATATATATATATTTATATATTTATATTTATATATACACACATACACATCTATCTATCTATCTATCTATCTATCTATCTATCTATCTATCTATCTATCTATCTATCTATCTATCTATCTTGATTTTTAACTTGAGTTTAGTTCTCTAATTATGGAGGCTGAGAAATTCCACAATCTCCTCACTACAAGCTACAGACCCAGGAGAGACAGTGGTATAACTCAGTCCCATTCTGAAGGCCTGTGAACCGGGGGGGGGTTGGTGGTGTGAATCCAAGTTGAGGAGAAGGAGAAAATGAGGAGACTTGTTCTATCTCAAGCAGTGAGATAGGGAAAAAAGGGGATAATTTTTCCTTTCCCTACCTTTTGTTCCATTTGGACCCTCAATGGATTGGATGATGTCTACCCACATTGGGGAAGGCCTTCTATTTCACTAAGTCACCCATTCAAATTCTCATCTCATCCAGAAACACCCTCACGGATACAACCGTAAATAATGTTTAATTTGGACGCTCCATGACCAGTCAAGGTGGCACGTAAAATTAGCCGTCCCAGTGGGTAGGGCCATGTCATGGACTGCTGCAAAACACTGTGCACACCACGCAGCCTCAGATATCCTCCTAAAGGATCTCTCCCACGGGAAGGACAGTGATAGCATCAGATCATCTTTCCTCAGAGCACTGTGCACTGTGGCCACACAGTCTAGTTAAGGGACCCAGTGGCTATGTGGTCCACACACCATGTGGAGTGTAGATGAGTTCAACACTCAAGGAAGTCACGCCTAGGGGAAACTGCGTCTTCTTGTTTGTACAACTCACAATTTGAGAGCAGGTGCAGAAATCTCTCAGTAAGAGGCCTCGTGGAAAGAAGTGGGCTTCCAGTTTCATTTTGCATAACCATGAAGCTTAGTGACATTTGCAACAGATATATGAAATCCTCATTACTTTCTTCCTATAGAAATAGGAGAAATAACTCTTGTGGTTGGGGTGGGAACATGAATTCAGGAAAAGAGCTAGGGAAGTGATTTATGCCTGGGCCTGGTAGGAAGGACCAGATTTTCACAGACAGAAAAGCAGGAAAGGATATGGAATTCCTGAAAAGGGTGGTACCAATTCTAGCAAGCTTCTAAGAGTTAGCCTGTTGTCAGTGTTCCCTTGTCTTCCCCTAATGTCTGCAACCTGAACTGACTTGCAAAATATCCAAGTGTAAACCTTGGGTCCCTCACACCATGCACAGCCCAGTACTATCTGACCCCAGGGCTGAGAAACAGTCCTCTGCCTATCTGCTCTGATACATCTCCATGTCCATATCTCATATGAAAAACTCACATTTTGCCTGGAAGGAGTAAAACCTGGAAGGCTCCCTGGAGGTGGATGGAATTAATCTAGGTCTGGGTAAATTGAATGTAAATGCTTTCCAAAGTCTAATATGACAAGAAACAAAGCACAAGGTATGTGCAAGGGCCTAAGAAGTAGAGCTAGGCATTGAGGGATGGACAGGGATATAGAAAGATATAGGAATACGAGCAGAGATTTCATAACGTCAGCTGGGCCTTGGCAAATGCACCGTTTCCCACCAGAAGATCTACCTGAGAGGAATGGCCAATCTCCCCGTCAATCACCACAGGCCCACCAATGACGATGTTGGGAGGCGGGGCCCTGAAACGTTGTGGAAGAGGCCCTAGCGTGTGCCTAAGCTCTTGACTGTCTGGATTGTGCTGTGCGGGCTTCCGTAGACTGTTTCCTTCGGTTACGTTTTAACATGGCGGCTCCCTTTGCGGAGATCGGAAAAGTGTAAGTTTTACTGACTTTATTCGTATCTGGCCAACTGCAGTGTGACTTGGAGAGTCGGGTAGATGGTGTGTCCTCATGGACACATTGACAGATGTGTCTGCGGGGTCCTGGGTGGATGGCGGAGTCGATCTCTCAGGCACTTCCGGGTTTGGTGTTGGGTATTACTGTACGGGCGTGATGAAACGTGAAGACGTTCTTTGTTTAAACGTGGGTCTCGGAGCCTCCTTCCCAATTGTGTTCTTACTGCTTTGTCATGTTTGGGGCTTAAAGTGAGGAAGGGTGGCAGTGTTTGGCTGGGTGGGTGGGGATGCCAGGCAGTCTGACTGGTGAGTGGTGCCCGCCATGGAGCTGATTCTGCTTTCTCTTGTAGGGCATTTGGGGTGGATATATCTTTGCCGGGGCTTGCTTCAAATGTTGATCTTGCCCATTTTGGTGCCCTTTCTTAACCATTGAGGGTCTTTCTGTTCTTTCCCACGTGAAATAAGACAGTAAGGCTCTGAGGGATCGCGTGCGGTGTTAGGATAGCTGACGGCCCTTGGCTGCCTTGGTGTTTTGTGGATCAGGGTAAGGGGAAGTTTGCCCCAGCTACTCACGGTACGAGCTTCCAACTTACCTAGTTTTCCTGCAACTGTGTTAGGCTGTCCATCTGTAAGCAAGTCTCCCTGTAGATCTGTATAATCACTGTTTCCTTCAGGACCTGTGATGGCAAAATCTAGTACTGGCCAGCTGACGAGCCTGTAAGGAGAAGAGAGTGGACCCGGAATTAACTGTCAGAGACCTTCCAGATGAGTAAGTGCAACCTTATGTTCTGTGGGGCCACAAATGCTGGGAGGGGGGTAGCATCCATCCCGTCAGCTACAATATTTTTTTTAACATGGTGTTGGAATGTCTTCCCTGGGTCTCTAAGATACGAGCTTGCAACAATGTTAGGATCACTGCCTGAGTGCTGCACAGACACTAAGTTTATAATTGATGTCTTTAACTAGTCAGAGGCATCTAGTTCCAGTTCAGCATGAGTGCCATTATTACAAACATACTGAATTTGTTAGAATGTCACCTTTCCAAAAAGCCTGATCTTGCCATCTTCACATCAGAGTACGGATCTGTCTTTTTATCCTTTTGGAAAACACTTGTAATACCAGGCAGAAGCAGGCTGGACTGGAGAGGATTGTGAAAAACAAATTGCAAGAATCTAGAGACTGTGGGAGTGCTGTTTTCTTCAGGTCGGGGAACATGGATTTGAATGTAATTTCAAGCCAGCTCTGTATAGGAAAGGGGAGAAAGATGAGGCCTGGACACCAAGTGAGTGGCAGAGCATGATAGTCTCCCAGTCAATCTGCACTCTAAGTGGGTGGGCATTTGCTTTGCAGGGGTCCTGGAGATGTAGGCTAACAATTAAGTAATATGCAGGTCAAGATTTCATTAAAAATTTACACTTCTGCCATTTTTGAGGGAGGGAGGGGCGGGGGGCACAATGTCGTTATTTTTTGCCTTACTGATGTTGATGAGACAATGCTTCCTGTTTCATTAAAAATAAATTTTAGTGTC